GCATGAATCACTAGGTGAGAGGAAGGTTAGTGCGCTTATCTGGTCACTTACAGTCACGCGAATTTGGCTCATTTTTCCATCCCGCGAGTAATTTGCCTTAGCAGTGATTACGTCGTTCGCCAAGTTTAGAGCAAAGATCCTACACTTAATAGGACAACATTGCCTCAGTTACAGCAAATGTGGAATTGTGTACGAACGGGAATGTGGTATGATGGATCTCTCATTTCTCCACGCAGGTCCCGTGGGAACAATAACGGGAAATCCCTTGATGTGTAAGGTGCTTCGATGAGCTTGCTATGCAACAAAAAGGGAGTAGTTTTTCTCGCAGACGGTTAACTTAACGAATAAAGTACCGCAGAGGAAAGAAACATCGGTTAACGACGGTTAACAACGGTTAACAACTTTTCTGAAGAAAAACAACAGTTAGACTATCAGTTTCCTTTAATATATTCTGTTAACCGCTGTTAACCGTTGTTAACCGTTGGAATAAACATGTGCGTGCCTGTTAATCGTTTATTTCAAGCGTTTACGGTGCTTTCAAGCATTTTCCGTAGTATATAGAACCTTTTTGTTGATTTTCAAGCATTAAAAAGACCTTTTTACTTAAGGGAAAACTTTTTGACACTGGTGTAATTGTCATGAAGTGCGCTGTTTTTTGCCACAAAAGAACTGCCATCGTGTGAAAACATGTTTTCGCTGTATTTGTGATCAAAGAGGCATTGCTTTCCCTACACATCCTATTTCTACCCATTTTGGAAGTTCTTCATTAATATTTGTTCTTTTAGCCTTGGTTGTCATAGAAGAATTAACGGTTTTATCGTCATGGATTCCATTATTTTGTCAAGTAGATAATCTGGTATATATGTTGTAAATTGTTCTAATTACACACTCAGTAAACGCGGGTATTGTTAACTCGGTGAAGCTTACTTTTCCAGTTCTACTTTAACTACGTGGAGAAAGTTGTCACTGCAACTAAGTATCACTACCTCTAAGGGTTATTTTTAACCGCTCCGCCGCATTCTTGAGTCCTCGTGCATGACCTGCACACCACGCACTATTATTTTTGAACAGGACAGTCGTGCTGCGCAAATATAATAAATACCCAGTCTTATCTAATTTATTTGACATGTAAGCACAATTAACGTTGGTAAAAAGGCCGGAGGTAAGGCTCCTATTAAGATATCATATTTGTGACACACAGTAACTCCTTAACCTTGGCCACCAACCAAAATTAATTTCAATACTTTTTCTCTAAAGAGCATGATTTCTTTCTCATTTAGGTATAAGGTTTCTAATTTATGGCTAAATTTCTAAGTGCATAATTAATGCGTCCTAATTGTTTTTATGACACCTTCTTTCGTAGTCACAAAGCTTTAGACAAGTACAACATCTGTGCAAAAAATCAATACCTTCCGACCTTACATTGCGAAGTGACAGCGATTTGAAGAACTGGCCTTCACAGACAACCCGGGCAAAACTGTTGAGACAATTCCATCTATTTTCTAACTTTTGCGCCCTACTCCCGTCTCCCCTAAACACAAAAAGTAAACCCCCTCCCCACCCCCTATTCAAAGTTGCCTTGGTCTAAAAACCAACGTGTATAATTACCATGCTATCCTAAACAACTTTGGATAAGGGGAGGGCGGAAATCGGGCATTCATTTGGCGGCGGTTTCAGTTTTTGCCGGGAGGACAGGAAAAAATAGGCATTTTCGCGATTTGTCTCAATAGGTTTTGTCCGGGGTTGTCTGCGTACTGCTTTCGGTATTCTTTAACTTTCATAGCAATTACCTCAAGTTATAGTCCTCTGTTTTGGTCAAATTGATAAAAGCCATTGTTTCAGCATACTTTTTTTTTTCTTTTGAATGCGAAATAAAATTTTTACAGTAAAAATTGAAGTTATAACACTCTGATTACATGATCTGTCAAATGACATTTACTCTGTGACGTTACCATGGGCATGACTTTCAACGGCTTACGTGTCCGTAGACGCTTTGCCTGCTCAAATGATGACATTGATATGTAATCGCCAGACAAAATGGATCTCTCGAGAACTTCCGATAGTGACGAATCATTTTCAGGAGGCTCGGAAATATCGCATGAATCACTAGGTGAGAGGAAGGTTAGTGCGCTTATCTGGTCACTTACAGTCACGCGAATTTGGCTCATTTTTCCATCCCGCGAGTAATTTGCCTTAGCAGTGATTACGTCGTTCGCCAAGTTTAGAGCAAAGATCCTACACTTAATAGGACAACATTGCCTCAGTTACAGCAAATGTGGAATTGTGTACGAACGGGAATGTGGTATGATGGATCTCTCATTTCTCCACGTAGATCCCGCGGGAACAATAACGGGAAATCCCTTGATGTGTAAGGTGCTTCGATGAGCTTGCTATGCAACAAAAAGGGAGTAGTTTTTCTCGCAGACGGTTAACTTAACGAATAAAGTACCGCAGAGGAAAGAAACATCGGTTAACGACGGTTAACAACGGTTAACAACTTTTCTGAAGAAAAACAACAGTTAGACTATCAGTTTCCTTTAATATATTCTGTTAACCGCTGTTAACCGTTGTTAACCGTTGGAATAAACATGTGCGTGCCTGTTAATCGTTTATTTCAAGCGTTTACGGTGCTTTCAAGCATTTTCCGTAGTATATAGAACCTTTTTGTTGATTTTCAAGCATTAAAAAGACCTTTTTACTTAAGGGAAAACTTTTTGACACTGGTGTAATTGTCATGAAGTGCGCTGTTTTTTGCCACAAAAGAACTGCCATCGTGTGACAACATGTTGTCGCTGTATTTGTGATCAAAGAGGCATTGCTTTCCCCCCACATCCTATTTCTACCCATTTTGGAAGTTCTTCATTAATATTTGTTCTTTTAGCCTTGTTTGTCATAGAAGAATTAACGGTTTTATCGGCATGGATTCCATTATTTTGTCAAGTAGATAATCTGGTATATATGTTGTAAATTGTTCTAATTACACACTCAGTAAACGCGGGTATTGTTAACTCGGTGAAGCTTACTTTTCCAGTTCTACTTTAACTACGTGGAGAAAGTTGTCACTGCAACTAAGTATCACTACCTCTAAGGGTTATTTTTAACCGCTCCGCCGCATTCTTGAGTCCTCGTGCATGACCTGCACACCACGCACTATTATTTTTGAACAGGACAGTTGTGCTGCGCAAATATAATAAATACCCAGTCTTATCTAATTTATTCGACATGTAAGCACAATTAACGTTGGTAAAAAGGCCGGAGGTAAGGCTCCTATTAAGATATCATATTTGTGACACACAGTAACTCCTTAACCTTGGCCACCAACCAAAATTAATTTCAATACTTTTTCTCTAAAGAGCATGATTTCTTTCTCATTTAGGTATAAGGTTTCTAATTTATGGCTAAATTTCTAAGTGCATAATTAATGCGTCCTAATTGTTTTTATGACACCTTCTTTCGTAGTCACAAAGCTTTAGACAAGTACAACATTTGTGCAAAAAATCAATACCCTCCGACCTTACATTGCGAAGGTACAGCGATTTGAAGAACTGGCCTTCACAGACAACCCCGGGCAAAACTGTTGAGATAATTCCATCTATTTTCTAACTTTTGCGCCCTACTCCCGTCTCCCCTAAACACAAAAAGTAAACCCCCTCCCCACCCCGTATTCAAAGTTGCCTTGGTCTAAAAACCAACGTGTATAATTGCCACGCTATCCTAAACAATTTTAAAGGGCCACGTTGGGCCCACAACTTGTACTCTACGATAGGCCCCCTCCAGACTCTTCGTCTGGCCTGGGCTTGTCCCAAGCCAGAGCGATTCCCCATACCTCTACTATTGTTCGCGGGAACGGGACAATTAGTTTGTTAAAACAGAGTCCCTCAGGGAGAAGTGTGTTTTATATCGTTTAACAAATTTAGAGGATAAATATCTTGGAACAAGATAATTTAAATCTTTGTTCACCATTAAGGCTTTTTGTATTTGACACTGAGTGCAATTAAGTTGTCTAAATAAGCGGTCGGCATTAGCATCACATCTAGAAAAGGTTAGAACACGAGCAGCACGGTTCTGAAGCTTCTGTAGCCTGTCAAATAAAGTTTTACCACAATTACCCCAGACAATAATAACAATAACAATAACAATAATCGAATCGAGATTGAATTAGAGCGTTGTATATACAATGGAGAGTAGGCGTTGGAACCCCGGGGGGGGTTAGGGTTAGGGTTAGGGTTAGGTTAAGGGTTAGGGTTAGGGTTAGGGTTAGGGTTAGAGGTTAGGACTCCGCATGTAATCTTACAGCCTCAACGTGGCATTGCTCGTTGTATGTTAAGCTCAATTCACCTGCAATTCGTTAAAAATGATCAGAACAACAAAAAAAAAAAAAACAATACAGTTTGTATAGCAAGTCAAAAGAATATCTACTGCCTATATCCACCTCATTCAACATCAGTTAACACGGAAGTCATTGATGATTTCGGTGGAAACTGCAACGGAGACTGTGTTAGTGAGCAAAAAGGGCAGGGTTCTGTCGTCACTATACCGGATAGGTATAAAAAGGGAGTATCCGGCATAGTATAAATGGCAGCTGGAACAAGTCGCTCACAGACATATCGAAAATCGTGCTGGAGCGGTTGGCCGAAAGAGTTTGGTACACTAAATCCCAATCCTCACTCTGAATATTCACCTCGCCTGTTCTCTTATTTTTTCGCTACGTTCCCAACACCTGTTAATAAAAGCTTGTGGGGTCGTGTGTTTAAGAATGAAACTAACCTAATCTACATCAAAACATATATACAAATTATATATATTATAGGCACACAGTGATAAGTAATATATAAAATTCTGTTGTCTGCATCTTATAGCAGATGCAGACGTACATTCAAACTTGAAATCTATAAAATAATCTTCAGCGCTGACACTCTTCTTGAGCTGATTGAAATTCAGGGTCGCAGATGCTTCCTTGTCATTGTAGTTAACAAAGTTCCATAACGAAGCACCTCTAAATGAGAGAGAATCTTCCATGTATCTTGACTCGTACCTTGGTACGAGAAGACGGTTCTGCTCTCGAACGAAGTAAGTGCTATCTCGATTTTGGCCAATATTCTCATACATTATATCAGGTAAGGATTCGCTATGCGCCCTATAAAAAAGTCTAAGAACATCTAACTTATAATAAAAAGAAAAGGTGGGCCCCTGAACTGAGCACGTCCTCCGAATCCATATCCCTTAGGTAAATTGTAAATTAAACGTGCCGCTCTACAGTGAAGCCTGTTCACACTGGGACGAAGACTGGCAATAATTCATCCAAAATGTGACAATCCACTTTCAATATCGGCGCCGAGCAGCTTCACTCCGACACAGAAATCGCTACCGCACTCACTTTGCATCACACGCTCCACCTAAGAATAGACATGGAGGCCTGTTCACACCCCATAGGAAGTTAGTTCAGGGTCTGACGGCAAGTCTCCTATGAAAATTCTCACCGCTGGGAATATTCTGGGCCTTTTTGAGGAAAGTTTTGAAAAATTCGGCTACATGTACATTATAGGCGATCAAAGGACTGCGATGGTTCACGATTATTCCGTGGGGCGTTCATACGCGGAAATAATTTTGTTTTCAACCCAGAAGCTAATTCCTTGTTGTTTCGTGAATTCTTGCCTTGACTAAAACAACATCAGTGTATGATGCCTCGGAAATTAAGGAAATCATGACGAAAATAGTTTCGATCAATAAAGACAATAACCTTTATTTTCATTACTATATAACAAAGTATTACAGTATTGCAAAAGCTACTTGAATTTAATTATTGATATTTCCTTTTTAAAATAAATATTTAAAATATTAACTTTAAATATAATAATTATTGTTATTTTCAAGCATCAGTAGGATTAATTATTCCGATCATTTGCTGATAAGACTTAGTGTCAAATCAGCCATTGCAAAGCTATCTTTTGAGAAGCCCATTACTTTACCAAAGAACAATAACCAGCCAAAAAAACATACATGGGCTGGGATAGTGACTTCCACTCGGATATTAGGTTTGTTAAGAGTTCTGGTGGACGTTTGTGTTAGTTAATGAATGTTTGGATCAGTTAAGGTTTCTGGGAAACTGCCCACCTACCCCTCCCCTAAGCTAACATTAACACTTAATTCTCGCTTAGGGAAAAATGATGGCTTAGGGGAGGGGTAGGTGGGCAGTTTCCCAGAAACCGAAATTGCGAATGTTTGATGAAATAAAGAATTTCCCTTTTTATTCTTTCCTTTTTTATGCGATAGATGTGTCACCCACAGGGACCCTAGACTGTGAAATAAGTGCACAGAAATGTCAACCTCCTTTGGAGACAAAAACCCGTACAGTAGCGCCGAAAGACTCTAAAGTGACTTTGAACTGCTCGATTAAGAATGGGGGAAAAGTACAAGACATGACCTGGCAGGACCTTTTAAGAAACCTCAGTGCCAATAACGGTCTATTCTTACATCAAAAGAATTCAAAGGATAAAAATCTGTCACGTGAATGTTTTTCAATAAAATATGCCAGTAAGTATGTTCTTTTGTATTATAGTGAATTAGTTTTATTGTCTTATTTTTAAATGAATTTAATCCGTTACAAATGCCATGAGGGCCTCGTAACAGGTTTAGGCAGATTCAAGCTCAGCTGAGGCAATTTTTACGGTTGGATTGACCGTAAAAACGGTTTAAGTTATAGCCAGCTAAATCACCTCACTTGAATATGGTTCAGCGCTGAACTCTAGTTGCTCATGCCATGCTGAAGAGCAAGCAAAGCAAAGGGACATGACAAACAACAAACAAAACAATCATTTTGAAAGATGTTAGCTTTTTGTTTGGCTTGACTCAGTGCGTAGGGCCGCGCTCTCCAGCATGGCAGGTTTGTGCCACAAAAGTGACTTACTGCAAAGGGCTTATTCAACATCAACAAGGCATGGAGTAAAACATGGTTGGTCCGTTTGACTGTAGGTATCTCAAAAATCGTGAGCTAAGCAACGACGACGACGACGACGGCAGTGAAAATGTCGCTAAAAAATTAACTTTGCCTCGTTTCAAATGTTATCGCGTCTATTTGGAGCTGCTTAATTTGTCAAATGTAGGCGATTTCTCTTGGAGTTGAATTCTTAAGGACTTTATTCAGTATCAGAAAGAAAAAGGAGAATTCGTCGTCGTATGTTTACTTTCTCTATAAAACGTCGTATTAGGAGGTTTCACTTCATAGTCGTGCAGTCAACGTCAAAGTAATGTACTAAGAAGCTTGACGCACGTGCAGCAACTGTTGTTTTCATGGTTCAGATTTTCACTTTTCAGATTTTGATTTTTTTTGCACTAATTCAAGAGGTTGCTATAAAAATTACAAATATATTACAAAAACAAGAATCGAAGAAGAAAACCAGCAAATTACATAAATCCTGATCAAAGGTGAAATGTGCGCAGTGGCTAAAGGAGCTTAGGCTTTCGAGTTGGTCACTTGAGCTCCCTAGTTTAAATGACTGGGTGCATTACTTACGAGCTTTGAAATTAAGACGACGAATTCCTTCTCAGTTCCAGTTCAGAGAGTATTCAAGACAAGTTCTCCCGTTGACTACTATCCTGACACGAGAGAAATGGAACTGAATTGTACCTTCAAGGGATGGCCTCGTCCTCGTGTAGTTTGGTATAATCCAGATAACAAACAAATCATCAACGGATCTGAAGGTTTTTACATCTCAGAGCAGCTGGATCGAGAGAATACCTTAACTTCCCTTCTCCGTAATGCTAATATCCAAGAAAAACAAGCAGGGGCTTACAAATGCACTGGAATGAACAACATTACCGGCTGGTCGACTAAAAAGTCAGGGTATATTGACCTGGATTATCGCTGTGAGTCATTTAATTTCTTATTTCTAATACTACACACGGATGCGCAAAACTACCTCCTTTGAAGCAGGTTCATAAAAACATAATACCATGTTTCTCCTGTAAGCAATGGAAAGTATCCCATTTAGACTAAGAGGGACAGCTCATTCTCTCTTGATTTAGACGGAAGTAAATATTGGGTGTTTCATATTTCAAATAACATATTAACTTATTCCTAACTGAATTTAAAAAAATGTAACTGACAATTTCGTGCCACCTTCCTCTTCTATTCAGACTAAATGGACGCTGGAATTTTTATTTGTTTACCCCCCGGGTCACAAGGGATAAGTAAATAGTGGCGCTAGCTCATCCACAAAGCGGTTCTTTGTCTACCATTCTGGCTCAAATTTACTCCGCGCAGCTGGCGGGATTAACGTGGGAGTGATGTGTTGTTTTGATGGCAATGGCGGAATAAGGGTGAGAAGCAACAAAACTCCCAACCCGGCCGGCCACATATGATGTTGCCTGAGGAATCAAGCACAGGACAGTCATTAATGAGAGGTGTTCTCACCTGAAATTCAGTAGAACCTCTATGTAACGAAGTCTTCGGTATAATTAACAATTATTCCACTTATTCCGCGAGTGTGCGTTACATATGAGATGGTAGGTAACCAACGAGGCGCGTAGCGCCGAGTTGGCGATAATCATCTCATATCCAACAAGGGCGAGTGGAATAATTATTCTATTAAAAACGCCCACAAAATGGCGAGAATTCTTCCCGACTTTATTTGTAAACCAACCGATTTTCATCTTGTTTTTAATTTTGAGCAGACGCGTACAGTTACCATGTTTGAAGAGCATGGTATAACGGCCCATATACCGTGATGGAAAAGCCAATCAGAGCACTAGAATTGCATTCTCTAATAATTCAATTTTTAATAATAAGCGATACTCTCCGCCCCAGAAAGAATACAGCCAAACCCCGTAAGTCCCAACACTGAAGGGGCCGTACTAAGAAAGTGCCTGTATTAACGGGGTGACCTTATTAAGCGGATAGAAAATGTAAGGGCGCTCTGTCCCCAGGGACAAAGCAAACTGTCCGTAACAATGAGATGTCCGTATTGAGCGGGTTTCCAGACTTAAGCGGGGTTTGACTGTACAATAAATGAAAGGAACCTTAATGTAACGAAACTTCTTTATAGTGAGCGTATTTTGCCAGTCCTTTGGGTCTTCGTTCAGCTGTTCGTTATATCAAGATTCCAATGTGAAGTGTTATGTGATTGTTCAAGAGAAAACGAGCCGCCGAATAGCTATTGAAAACAACCCTTAGTAGCACAGGTCATATTGGTGGGAGGTAGGAGAAGATCAACCGTTCGTTGGAGCGTCTGTAAAGACGGCGTGACGTGAGACAACTTGCAAAAGAGGGAACCAGTGGGATAAACGAAATCAACACGTAAAAACTGCAAAGCGTTGTGATGCCCCATAGATTGTCACAAATACTCAGGAGGGGAGGGTAAGAGTAAGAATGTTACCCCCTACGGTTGCAAAAAAAAATGGTAACGATTTTCAAATAATAGTTGCTCATCATATCTTCTTATCATCTAATACAGGTTTCTTGCCTAAAGCTCCGCAGATTACTTCTCCCACGGTTTCGGTGACAGCCTACTCCAATGTCAGTTTAAAGTGCGAAGTAGGTGTTAGGCCAAGCGACTGTTGGGACAATTCTTTAGGGTGGTATTTTAACAACAACTCAGGGGAATTAGAATCTGATGAAAAGTATGGTATACAAAAAAGGACAACGAACACCAGATGCAAAATAGATTTCATTCTCACCATTGTTAACGTTACTGAAGCAGACGAAGGAAACTATAAATGTCAGTGGCTCTGCGACAAGGACTACCCCAGCCTATTCAAGTTTTCAATTATCCAGTTGAAAGTATTTCCTCCTTCAGTAGCAGGTACTGATACTCCTATGATATCTAAAGGTCTTGTGTCACGACATTTACCACAATTCGAAAAGTGGAAAACCCACCAAATTGAGTGAAACGTAAAAATAACCGCTCAAAATCCGGGAGAGGGTACTTAGGTAATTTTTTTCTGGGTATGTGCCGCTGGCCTCTCAGAGCCCTTACCCCATTATAGTCTATTCTGTGGCCAATTATAGACCCCATCTTAGTCAGTTTTGGGCAAATGTGTAATTTACGCCATACCAACTTAGTCGCTTTCTATTTTTTATGAATTGACCCATTTTTTAGATTGAATGAAGAACACGTTACTTTTCATCTGCACTAGAAACATTCTGGTACGTTTGCTAACCATAAATATGGAGAACTGTCTTACCCCAAAAAATCGGAAAATGTGCGACCCCATTTTATTCAATCCAGTCGTGAAAATGGGACCCCAACCAGCGGCACATCCCCATTAGCCTCTTATAAGGAAGTACCCCGCCCCCGGGCTCAAAACTGTAACACAGCAAATGCAAAAGGAGTCAGGTGCTTGGAAGCAGTGGGCGAAAGGCGAAAGAGAGGACGGGCACGTGCGAGGGAGACACGCGAGAGGTGAGGGAGAACCTGCACGGAGGGCCCCCGAAAATCGTTTCAACTCGCACTCTGTGAGTGCGGATATTTCCAATTGGTCGAGAGGCTCCCGTGGGAAAAATTAACCACGCAGGGCGTGAAAACTGTCAATCAATAGTACATGGACAATCTCTCCCTCTCTCTACCTCTCCCCTCGCGTGTCTCCTTCTCGCGCGCCCGTTTTTTCTTGTGCCCACTACTTCCAAGCGCCTGCTACGCAGGCTAAACTGACTCGTGTTTCATTAGAAAACGAAGAATCCAATCCGAAGAATAACTCGCAATTGTATAACAGTAATTTCATTCGATCTAAAATCAAATTGTACAAATACATTCTATTCAAAAAGTGTAATCAAATAATTGATACATGAAACTTGAAACAGCGGAATAAATTCCGATAAAGGCTAAACGCTGTTACAAGGGAAATCACGTGGTTCTTGAAACAAACTCAATTTAAGCTACTTCAACTGTTTAAAAGATAACGAAAGAACGGACTAAATTAACAAAACAAAGGTAACATACAGTTCACTTACTTCTATGGCGACTGTTTTCTTAAATGTCCTTGAATAAGCATTGAATTGGTCCGGGTAGCAGTTAAACTGTTAACCTTTGATCCTTGCAGTACAGCGGTCGGTAAAAAACTTATAAAAACTCGAACAAAGAGCGTACTTTTGTGGTTCCAGTTGGGCGTTTACGGTTTTCCTACTTTGGTCAGCTAGATTAAATATAAAAATTCCTTGAATAGTTCTTTTACTACGTTAACACTGAGGTTTTTGAAAACTCAAACAGCCTAAAAGTTTTTCAAAAGCCTTTTTTTTTATCTGTAACTTTTCATGAAGGAGTGATTTTGTCATTTGCAAGTGATTTCTTAACTTACGCTAAGTTCCATTGAGAATAGGGACATATTTGGCAATATTATCAAAATGAATCAGCAAACCATGACGTCACAGCCCATTTGTTCCAGTGAGAGGGTACTTCCTTTGTAAGCGAATTGTTTAAAACCATTTGGGTCTGAATCAGGCAAAGGTTTTGCGCTGTTTGGATACAGGGTCTGAACTTATACGTTCGTGCATGAGTTTCTGATATGTTTGTTGTTGCCATTGTTTTAAGTCATCCTCCTTCAGGTCTGTGAATAGGGTAGGAAAAGTCGTACTCTACCGAATCAGGTAGACAGCGAATTCCATAAATACGTGCACTTGAAATTTCCTTTTAAACGGATACACAATAGGAGGGTAAAGTTTACTTCTGTTTTTTAAAATAATTATAGCGTAAATTAGTATAGGTAATGGCATGATTTGTAGTGGTCTTTGGCATAAATACCACAAGTGATATTTCGAAATTCTCATAGGTAATTTCACGAGCCTCAGGCGACTGAAATTTGAGATAATTTTGAAATATAGTGGTATTTATGCCAAATATATCGTACAACTCATGCTATTATTTGTTCATACTACTACCCGCAAAAGGTTTGTAATTTTCACATGTAGGTATTTCAAATTAAGCGAAAAAAAAACTGCTTTAAGCCAATCAAATTGCAGAAATTTCTCATGTAGGAGTATAATAGCTGAAATTTCTACTCTTGCGGCTATTTATTACTAGGTGCCAGACAGCAACTCTTTCGCGATACCCACGCAGGGGACGGCGAATCGTAACACCCTCCTTTATCTGCAAAATCGTTTCACATGATACAATAGTCGAATCCGAATCCAGCATCTGGGTTGAGTAATCAGTATTAGGTTCTAGACCGCTTATATTTTAGGGCAGGTTTTACACATACGCAGCGAATGGTTCGTTTCGTGTTGTAGTTTAAGACCAGAATATTACAAGTTTGGCGACGAGGATGGCGCTTGTAGGTCATGTTGGAGAGTATGTGGACAGCAAAGAAGATATTGCAAGTTATATCGAAAGAGTGGAATTGTATTTTGCGGCAAATTATGTCAAGACGGATTACAAAGTTGCTACGTTTATAGCGTTTATCGGAGCAGATGCATATGGCGTGTCGCGAAATTCGTTATCCCCTAAACGTCCAAAAGATAAGTCTTTTGTGCAATCGTATGAAAAGCTCACTGAACGATTTGGAAACCCAGCTCTAATTTCAAAGTCACTGATCAATAAGTTCCTGGAGATATCAGCAGATCAGCATGAAAACAACTTGACAACTCGCACAACATTGTGAGAACATTCATGGAGCAGGCTTTAGACCAGCAACTAATATGCAGCAGATTTTTGCAAAGCTACCTCCACAAATTACAGTAAGGTGAAGCAGGCACAAGTTAAAGCTACAGTCCAAATAAGTTGACCTTAGCGACCTAGATGAGTGGCTGAAACCGAGAGTCAAGTCAACGTGATAGCCCTTGGTTGTTCCAGTAATATAGAGAATCCTGGCAAGAGAAACCAAAGACAAATTAATTCAAAACAAATCGAAGTGGCTCAGGAGAAAGAACACGCGAAGACTCATGTAATGTTTTGTGAGCTAAAAAAAACATGTACTGACATTGTATGAAACCTGGAAGAATCAACTGTGAGTAAACGATGGTAATCAGTTATAAGAGAAGTTGGGTTTGTGCTTTAGATGCCACAGTAGAGGACATCGTCGGCTGAGACATTCCAGTCCTCGCAAGAAGGCACAGGCGAGACGTCATCACCTGAAGTACCAACTAATCATACGATCTGTTGAGGTTCTGAAGACTTGAACCGGTAAGTGTACCACGCCCTGAAACGGGAGCGCTGCGGATGATACACACCATATTGATGGTGGGTCTGGATTTTCCTTCCGCAAGAGGAGGTCGCTGATATACTGTACTGGGTTTGAACGCACTCTGTGTTCTTGCTTTTGGAGCGAAGTCGAATGTAACGGATAGCAAAACTGTAACTGCCCGCCAGCCTTGAGGGTATGAATGGGAGCAACAAGAAGCAATTATTTTTCGTGGAAATTTGTTAAATGAAAGCAATTGATTGGTCCGTCAATGCAAGAAATTAGATCATAATCGCGACCTGGAGATCATACTGGAGCCAGTTCAGCATGTAGAAGTTGATTTAGAAGTGATTATTATGAGAAACTCATTTTACCACTTGAGTATCGCAAAGGACATCTGGGGGAGCCTGTAAAGTTAAAGAAAACCACTCGCATAGACAATGGTTGGAAATGTCTCGTATGAAGCAAACGGGTGTCACGAGGCTTGCCATGTTTACACATATACCATGCAACCTTTACTCCAGAAATGAGGGCCGATGAGCTAATGCAGAAGATATGGGACGAAGACGTTGAGGGAATTGCTGATCAAAACAAGCGCTTGACAGCGGAGGAGGTGCTTGCTGCGCGCAAAGAGGCACAATCAAGGCGTTGTTTTGAGGGATTCTGAAGTGGCAATTCCATGGAAGGACGATGATACGCCGTTGCGTTCAAAGAGAAAGACTGCTGAAGACCGACTTATCTCTTGAGAAACACCTTCAGCCAAGGCTGGAGGTTGCTGAGAAATACTGCCAGGTGTTAGAAGCCAAGGTATAAAATAATGAATCCAAGGGTTACATCCGAATTACATCCAGTTGGTACCCACCTCATTTTCATGTAGTGACAGAAGACAAAGAAACTACGAAAGTGAGGATAGTCTACTATTCAGTAACCATATACGGAGGAATGAGCCATAATAACATGTTGCCTGGACCAAAGCTGAGCAAGATGTTTTTTTATGCGCTATTGCGTTTCCGCAGTTATCTTGTGGCCCTTGTAGCAGATCTGACGGAAATTTTCTCACAAGTTACCATGGCAAGGAAAGACGGAGGGTACCTGCCCTCTATAGACGTGCAGAAGTCTATGAAGCAATGAGCTTGACGTTCGATGACCGCGTCTCACTTTATCTTGCCCAGTACGTTGTGCGAAAACATGCGGAAGATAACAGAAATGACCACCCGCTAGCAATAGCCATAATCCTATTACAGGTGTACGTGGGTGACATTATGACTTCATTGAGCACTAACGATGAAGAAGCGATTAAAGCTCGAGAATAGCTTAGGGAGCCACCTGGCAAGGCAGGCTTCAAAATGTGGTCTAGGTACAGTAACAGACTAGAACTACCTTGCACGAAAGCATAAGGAAAGCAATAAGATGCTGAGACGGATGTGTTTAACTTCAAGTTGAATCCCCTAGCTGCAGCATGTTGTCTATACCAAGCGAAGGTTCGTAAAGAAATTTTCTATGCTTTTTTACTCAGGAAGGATGGATATGTAGCTGGGGAACATGGTTACTGGGTTTAAAACTGAGGATGACTTAAAGTAGACGTATCAAGAATGGTCCAGTGAGTTACCAGAATTTTTTAGAGAACAGTTTTCAAGGTGCTATCGCATTGCTGAAAAAATTGTTGTTACCCATCTATTCATACAATGGCAGACGCATAACTGTTGGCATATGGGGATGTAACTTACGTTGGGCACAAATATGAAGATGCAGCTCAAGAAGAAGAAGGGAAGCAGGTTAGAGCTCTTGGCAAGAAAGAAATGTGCAAGAGTTGTTAGAGCTTCCCTTCGTGAGTTGTACACTCTGAACAGATAGTAAGGGTGTCGGCTTTTTCTGGATCCAGACTCAGTCGAGGAGGTCTTGGACTTCTGTCGCCAGCGAAATATTTAACAATTATTCCTTGAGCCCGAATGGGCTCTAAGTTAATTGCCCATGAGGCCGAAGGCCGAATGGGCTATTGACTCAGAGGCCATTAGGGCGAGAGGAATAATTGTTTTAGTAAAATCCAACTAGTTGGTAAAAAAATATCGAGACAAAACAACTTTAGCTAGTTAAAGCTAGACTTAATCCCTTTTTGCCGCCAAAAAGCCCGCGCTTTTCGCTACTAGAACCAATCAGAACGCAACATTTTTTAATTGATAATAGACAACTAGCTGGATTTTACTAACAAAGATTTATCAGACGCCTAACACTAGACAGTGGAGACATGTACAAGACTTTTGTCGCCAACCGAGCATCAAAGATTGATCAGCCGCCTAACCCCAGATAGTGAAGAGACTCTTGGCCCCAACTGAGTATTGGACATTAATCAGACGTACATCTAGAGCCTCAATAATTGGCGTTTGATGAGGGTCTCAATGGGGTTAACCGATAGGCGTAAAACGGCTAAAAATTTAGTCGATAGCCGTAAAAATTGACAAATTTTAATCGTTAGCCGTAAATAGGGTAAAAAAGAGTTAACCGTAAAAGAAATTGTTCCCTAGATTTGTTAATTTTAAGGAAGGTGCTAAGCTCACTTATGGTTGCGTTTTTTTAATTCCCCGGCTACTTTGACTCCGTACGCACGTTAAGCTAAGCGTCTTTTAGGCGTTGACAAAGAACTAGGCTCATTTTCAGCCGCTCTCTCGAAGAACCAAGTTTTTTCCATGGCGAAAATCTGGCTTCTTGCTGGGGGTAATTATTTGTGATTTTCAAGAGGTTTGTAAAACACATTGTCGATAAACAACAATTCCAAGACCTTATTTTGCTTTAAAGATAGAAAAAAACAGGTTTATTAATATTTTACCCTTTGAAACAAAAGAAATTAATTTTCAACTTTTTTGTTAACGGTAACTGAAAAAAACTAACTGACAGCCGTAAAAGAGCCAAAATTTTAGAGGATAACCGTAAAAGCCACCATCCCATTGAGACCCTCTGATCTCAAGAGCCGTTGGATACTGATTCTTTACCTGGTAAAGCTCTTCTGGAGGCACTGGAGAGAAGAGTTTCTGGCAACACTTAATACCCAAAGGAAATGGAGGGAGGCGACGGACAACCTCAAAGTTGGGGATGTCGTGTTCGTTGTCGATCAAAATGCTCCAATCGGTCGGTGGTAGTTTTTCCGCATCAGGATGGACAGGTACGCGTTGTGCAAGTGAGTATCAGTGGCCAGATGCTTATCCACCCAATAAAAGGACTGTGTCCATTGAACGTCGCGGACCAACCATAGTCCTAAAGAAAGGAGCTGAGGATCCGGAGCTCCTTGTAAGCGCCAGGTGATACCCCTGCGTTGGGGACTGAAACCTGAAACTAGTCAAGTAAAAAGTTCCCTGAGCACATGGAAAATTGGCTTTTGTGTGTTCTTGTTTGAACCAGACTTTGGAACAGAATTTCTCACACCTGAGAAAATCCAAGTGGCGAGTTTCATACCGCCATGTATGTTTCCAGATTTCCACAGGTATACCACACCTTCCAGGGGCTTTACCTTCCTTTGCTGCGCTGATGGCATTCAACAATTCCTTGAATTCATGTTTTTCTTCAAGGCATGCAATGTTTACGGTTCAGCAAATAGAACTATGCCAGGAGACGCGTCGGCGAAATAGGTCAGCACGACATCAGTATATGCATTTTCTTGGAATAACTGCGAGTTTGCTCCATTTACGCCCACTCTTGGGTCTGCTCTAATGTTCCTCCCCGAGAAGGGACTTTTTGGGGGCTTATTTCCCAAACAGCGGATGGTAATTAAGCCTAATTGCGAGTCAAAGTTATTCGAACTCAGGGGCTCTCAGGGGTTGAGCTTTTTCGAACTGTTATCAGCGAAACACCTGTAAAACAGATTACATTTAATATTAAATCGGTGTTACAAATATGTTGATGATGTTACTTACAGTCGGAAATATGGAGTAAGAATGCTAGAAAAAACACTCGATTTGTTAAAAACGGGGACCACATAGAATTGTTGGGTAATGATGACGTTTCACCCCTGAACTCACCGCCTCTATAAGTGCAACTTCACCGCCTAACTAACTATGAAATGGTTAGGGATGACGTAAAACAGAAAATGCCCGAAGGGACCGCTTGGGTTGATTTTGTGACATTTACTGCACCTTTATACTTCTACTGTTGTGCGTTTCGTTTGTTCAGTGACATTCTGTGAAGCAACTGTTTTGAAGCTATAAACAAATGCAATTTACATTTCTTAGCCTTATTTTGTTCTCTTAAACAAGCGTCATAAACTCAGACCACGAAAGAGAAAACATGAGAGGCGAATAACAGTGTATAAGCAATTGGAGGGTTTGCCAGACACATGTTTATCATTCACAAATCTTGTTTTGGATTAGCTCTCCCTCACTACATGAAACTCATCCTAATGCAATAGATACAGGTAAATCTTTGATTGGAAACGATTTTACAGACACAAATCACTGTGGGGAAATTATTGAGAGGCTCAGTCTAAAAACAAGCAAGTTGCATTAAGAGAACGCTTGAATCAAGCCAGCTTATTAGCAGAACGATGCACGATTACAGAAATTTGCCTACAATTCATTTCTGTGCTGTCGTATTTCTCTTTACAAATTTCCCCATTCATTTCTAAATTCTTTCTCGGGATGTTAAAATGAATTGCATGTTAAACTTGCAAGAGGAATAAAGGAAATTACACCTTCTAATAAAATCTTTCCTTATAGTTAAAAGAATTCTTGAAACTGAGAGTGTTTTGATAAAAACAGAGTCAATCGATTTAAATCAGTGCATGGAATCTTGCGTTTTCTGTTTTTATCTCCCCAATATGATATCAATATGAATCTGTAAATTTCAAAGAGCTACACAAGAGTCATACAAAGGCAAAGGATACAATTAACCGAGAAAAAAAAAAAAGAAAAGGGGACGTTGTAATCTTTACGTCAACTACATTAAACATCCGCATATATATAAGAACCAACACCGTAACTCATATGTTTCCCTAAATTAGTAATCGTATTTGTTTCTCTTTTCATTTTAAATTACGAAACATTGGAAGAAAACAGAACCACTCCGAGTCAGCCCCTGAGTCGCTGGACTGTTATGCCGGAATTCAAAAGTAATTACCAACGCCGTAACTCATATGTTTACTTATATAAGTAATCGTATTTGTTTCTCCTTTCATTTTAAATTTCCTTTTTTCATATCGATGAAAGTAATATGTTGAGGACGTTTCCACTTTACCAACTTTATTTGCAGATTCCTCGACACCATCTTCACGAAAGACCACTAGCCCAACTTCAACAGGTCAGTGATGTTAAGGGGTAGTCACTAAGTATAGTGTTGCAATGGGAATAATTGCAGTGGCAGATTCAGACCTTAGGATAAGAGGGGGGCGGTCATCCAGACCCAGAGATAAGGGGGGGCTTTCTTAAAATTTTTTTCCGACCTTTCAGGCCTCAGTTTGGTCCAAAAATAACAGGGAGGCCCGAGGCCCCCGGGCCCCTCCCCTAGATCCGCCTCTAAATTGCCAAAAAAATCTAAAAATAGTATCCAGTTCTTAATAATGTTGGTTAATAATAGCGGAGCTGTCGCGCGCGCGAAGCGCGCGCGCAGCGGAGCACCATGGGTAAGAAAAGTTGGTAAACTATCCATCAGAGAAAATTTGGTTATGACGTAGAGTACGCCCGCCAACCCACCCGTACACACACTTCATGTAAACCGATGTCAAATGTCAAAATAGATCAGTTGCACAACTTGACTAGCCTCTTAGTTATGTAAGCCATCCGTATGAGTACGATTAGATTGACAGCTGTCAAAATCAGACATCCGCTGACAATTATCACATGACCATCTCGCGAGCTCAGATGAAAGACCATCCGTTTTGCCCCTACATATAAGCTGAAATAATATGTCACACTTACCAATTCAGCATAAAAACGAAACTACGCCGGGCAAGGCTGTCATTTGGCTGACAGTCGTTTAAAGTTATACTGGCAAGCCAAATTAAGGTCAATTGACAGCTGTCAAAATTGGACATGTGCAGACCACTATCAGAAAACTAATAACGTGGGCTCAGGTTCGCTCAGGTACACGATCTGGCTTTTTCCAATACATGCCGGACAGATATGTCTTACTCACACTCGTAGTCTGTTAATTCGAATATTCGCCATTCTAATGAAGGTTAATTGACAGCTGTCAAGAGTATACGCTGACCATCATTACCTGAGTGTATCGCGGGCTCATTTTTCTATCCATTGAGGTCACGTATTGTTTAAAGTTTTGCGCTGATATTTTATATGATCACGGGCTCAATTCGAAGCCTCATAGCTTAGAAAATCTCTCTCTCCTAGAAAATTCGGCAATCACGTGACCGTACACCGACCACCCGACCTTTTGTCCGTCCGCACGACAGGCATACCAATGTTTAATCTCTAGCTAGTTTGGGAGCCTGCAACCTGATATTGTACATCCATATTTGATTAATTGACAGCTGTCAAAATAGTGTTTATGCTGACCAGTGTCGTCAGACCATATCGCGGGCTCAGGTATTGACCCACTGAGTTCGCGTGTTTTTTGAAGGTATCCGCTGACAAGTTGCTACTTTTCAAATGATCGCAGGCTCAAGTTCAATTTTTTTAAAATGCATATGAAATAAGTCGTGTTCATGAGCCGCACTTCAGGAGCCCATAACCTAGCACTTTTAAAATGTTGATTTCGAACTGACCTCGGACGGGAAAATTCAACCTTCTTTTACATTTACATGCAGGGAAGGCAATCGTTTTTGACTTTTCTGACTGTCATGCGTTGATCACGGTCTACGTCCAATTTTTTATGTTCTGATTGGTCAAAATTTGACAGGTGAGTTCATGCGGAAAATTTATGCAGCGTCTGGAAACTTGCTTACTGATAGCTGAAGCTGACAAAGTTTTGTGTCATCTTGTGATGTTTTAAACTGTCTTTTCCTACTTGGTGTACAAAATGAAATACAGCTGCTATCAAGATTGTTCTGTAATTCATGGCTGGTTTGTTTATTGCGCTTTTTGTTGACAAATGCACCGCTTGTCAAAGTCATTGGAAATCCGATTTCGGATGGCATCGTTTTTAAAAACGAGCTCACTCACTTGCCTTTGCTTGAGGCATAAGAGGGTTGAAAAGTCTCAAGCGATTCTGGAACACTTGATGACCTTCAGAAGCAGCATCTCGACTGGTAAGCCTGAGCAATTATTGTCTTTGATGTGCGTTTTTTTTTCGGTTTCCTGAAGTCAAGTGTATGGTTTATGCGGCTTAAGTTTATACACGAGCAATGATCTAACCTACAATAGTATCAGTTTTAAAAAGCCTTTAGACATTTTTTGACCACAAATTCAAAGAAAAGGTTCCGAATATTATTTAGTTATAATTTTGGCTGTAAACAGAAAGCTCTGAGCGATTTTCTTGCCTCGAGTTCATCTTGAAAAGAACAAACACCGGAAAGCCCGCTTCAAACATAAATAAGCTTATGCTTACCTGAGTCGTGATTTTCAGAGACACTTTACTCTCAATACTTCTCTTCGTGAATGAAAATTATTGTCTCTGTACATGTTTCACCGAATTATATTTATTTTATTGATTGTTTGTAGTCCCTCTCGCAATTTTTATCGCTGCACCGGTTGTTTCCAGTCGAACATATACATCGCATGCAGGAATATTCAAAACGCCGTGCGTAAATATCACTCGCTTTTAAAGATTACACGTAACAAAACCTTACACAGTTTAATAAATAAGGGGAAATAAAACCTAAACTTAGCAAGTTCTCTATCATGTTGAAGCGTAAATGGTAACTCTATTAATCGCACTGTTAAAAGCCCATAATTATTACCCTGCATATCACATAGGACCAGATTTTTCTAACTGAAAAGTCCCGGCATTATAGAATTCTCTTCATGAAAACCTTTTATAATTCAATGCTATCATTTGTTGTGCAAAGGAAGCGCGTGCTTTGATCGTCGTGGATATTGAATGAGTGCAAATTCTCTCGCAAAATTGTGAAAAACTGCAGAATTATAGGTTTAAATAGGGCAAAAAAGAACAAACTCTGTCCGAGGTCTGTATGATAAAAAAGGGCCTCATAGTACTGTTTACCTGAGACGTGATGAGAAAAAGTTTGATTAAAAGGCTGGCTTACACGCCACCAGATTCGACGCCAAGATTTACTAGTAACCTAAACTTGCCGAACACAAAAAAAATCCGGCCTGATATCTATTTTGGCCTCTCTTTTAGACAGAGGAATGCAACGTGTAAATTGGCTGCAACAAAGGACTATCGTGGCGCGTGTGTTTCTTAACATTATATTATTAGCCATAGTCTCTCTAACGGAGCAATGTTGGAGAGACAGGTGAATACCACATTATGATGCAACAGCTAATGCAAATACAATACTCAAATAGGTCTATTTGTTTTCCAGGCCTAATCTACTGTGATCGAACATGATTGCTATTTTTAGGTGTACAAATAAGACTATTTAGTAATTCGATGTAAAATTGTTTCACTCTTGGACTGTCAAATTATTTTTTTTTCTAAAATCACTTAGCCTTTGCCTCAAAAGTCAAATAAATGTGCCCTGATCTGTGGATTACAAGTTTATTGTTTGATTTAAATTATGAATTTATTAACGAGAGCTTCGCTTTTAGCCCTGGGTAAATCTATATATTACGAAACATTGGAAGAAAACAGGACCACGCTGTGTCGGCCCCTGAGTCGCTGCACTGTTATGCCGGAATTCAAAAGTAATTACCAACGCCGTAACTCATATGTTTACTTATATAAGTTATCGTATTTGTTTCTCTTTTTATTTTAAATTTCCTTTTTTTCATATCGATGAAAGTAATATGTTGAGGACGTTTCTCCTTTACAAACTTGTTTTGCAGATTCCTCGACACCATCTTCACAAAAGACCACTAACTCAACTTCAACAGGTCAGTGATGTTAAGGGGTAGTCACTAAGTATAGTGTTGCAATGGGACTAATTGCAGTGGCGGATTCAGACCTTAGGATAAGAGAGGGGGCGGTCATCCAGACCCAGAGATAAGGGAGGGCTTTCTTAATTTTTTTTCCCGACCTTTCAGGCCTCAGTTTGGTCCAAAAATAACGGGGAGGCCCGGGGCCCCCGGGCCCCTCCCCTAGATCCGCCTCTGAATTGCCAAAAAAAATCTAAAAATTGCATCCAGATCTTATCCCTTTTCAAATAATGCAAAACATTGGAAGAAAACAGAACCACACTGAGTCAGCCCCTGAGTCGCTGGACTGTTATGCCGGAATTCAAAAGTAATTACGAACGCCGTAACTCATATGTTTACTTATATAAGTAATCGTATTTGTTTCCCTTTTCATTTTAAATTTCCTTTTTTTATATCGATGAAAGTTAATATGTTGAGGACGTTTCCCCTTTACCAACTTTATTTGCAGATTCCTCGACACCATCGTCACAAAAGACCACTAGCTCAACTTCAACATGTCAGTGATGTTAATGGGTAGTCACTAAGTATAGTGTTGCAATGGGACTAATTGCAGTGGCGGATTCAGACCTTAGGATAAGAGAGGGGGCGGTCATCCAGACCCAGAGATAAGGGAGGGCTTTCTTAATTTTTTTTCCCGACCTTTCAGGCCTCAGTTTGGTCCAAAAATAACGGGGAGGCCCGGGGCCCCCGGGCCCCTCCCCTAGATCCGCCTCTGAATTGCCAAAAAAAATCTAAAAATTGCATCCAGATCTTATCCCTTTTCAAATAATGCAAAACATTGGAAGAAAACAGAACCACACTGAGTCAGCCCCTGAGTCGCTGGACTGTTATGCCGGAATTCAAAAGTAATTACGAACGCCGTAACTCATATGTTTACTTATATAAGTAATCGTATTTGTTTCCCTTTTCATTTTAAATTTCCTTTTTTTATATCGATGAAAGTTAATATGTTGAGGACGTTTCCCCTTTACCAACTTTATTTGCAGATTCCTCGACACCATCGTCACAAAAGACCACTAGCTCAACTTCAACATGTCAGTGATGTTAATGGGTAGTCACTAAGTATAGTGTTGCAATGGGACTAATTGCAGTGGCGGATTCAGACCTTAGGATAAGAGAGGGGGCGGTCATCCAGACCCAGAGATAAGGGAGGGCTTTCTTAATTTTTTTTTTCGACCTTTCAGGCCTCAGTTTGGTCCAAAAATAACGGGGAGGTCCGGTGCCCCAGGGCCCCTCCCCTATATCCGCCTCTGAATTGCCAAACAAATCTAAAAATAGTATCCAGATCTTATCGCTTTTCAAATAATACGAAACATTAGAAGAAAACAGAACCACGCTGAGTCGGCCCTGAGTCGCTGGACTGTTATGCCGGAATTCAAAAGTAATTACCAACGCCGTAACTCATATGTTTACTTATATAAGTAATCGTATTTGTTTCTTTTTTCATTTTAAATTTCTTTTTTTCCATATCGATGAAAGTAATATGTTGAGGACGTTTCCACTTTACCAACTTTATTTGCAGATTCCTCGACACCATCGTCACAAAAGACCACTAGCCCAACTTCAACAGGTCAGTGATGTTAAGGGGTGGTCACTAAGTATAGTGTTGCAATGGGACTAATTGCAGTGGCGGATTCAGACCTTCAGATAAGAGACGGGGCGGTCATCCAGACCCAGAGATAAGGGGGGGCTTTCTTAGATTTTTTTTTTCGACCTTTCAGGCCTCAGTTTGGTCCAAAAATAACGGGGAGGCCCGGGGCCCCCGGGCCCCTCCCCTAGATCCGCCTCTGAATTGCTAAACAAATCTAAAAATAGTATCCATATCTTTATGGCTTTTCAAATAATACGAAACATTGAAAGAAAACAGATCCACTATGAGCCAGCTCCTGAGTCGCTGGACTGTTATGCCGGAATTCAAAAGTACTCATATGCTTACTTATATAAGTAATCGTATTTATTTTTCTTTTCATTTTAAATTTCCTTTTTTTCATATCGATGAAAGTAATATGTTGAGGACGTTTCCCCTTTACCAATTTTATTTGCAGATTCCTCGACACCATCGTCACAAAAGACCACTAACTCAACTTCAACATGTCAGTGATGTTAAGGGGTGGTCACTAAGTATAGTGTTCCAATAGGACTAATTGCAGTGGCGGATGCAGACCTTCAGATAAGAGGGGGGGCGGTCATCCAGACCCTGAGATAAGGGGGGGCTTTCTTAAATTTTTTTTTCGACCTTTCAGGCCTCAGTTTGGTCCAAAAATAACGGAGAGGCCCGGTGCCCCTGGTCTCTCCTCTAGATCCGCCTCTGAATGGCCAAACGAATCTAAAAATAGTATCCAGATATTATCGCTTTTCAAATAATACGAAACATTGGAAGAAAACTGAACCACTCTGAGTCGGCCCCTGAATCGCTGGACTGTTATGCCGGAATTCAAAAGTAATTACCAACGCCGTAACTTATATGTTTACTTATATAAATAATCGTATTTGTTTTTCTTTTCATTTTAAATTTCCTTTTTTTTCATATCGATGAAAGTAATATGTTGAGGACGTTTCCCCTTTACCAACTTTATTTGCAGATTCCTCGACACCATCGTCACAAAAGAACACTAACTCAACTTCAACAGGTCAGTGATGTTAAGGGGTAGTCACTAAGTATAGTGTTGCAATGGGACTAGTTGCAGTGGCAGATTCAGACCTTCAGATAAGAGAGGGGGCGGTCATGCATCCAGACCCTGAGATAAGGGGGGGCTTTCTTGAAATTTTTTTTCGACCTTTCAGGCCTCAGTTTGGTCCAAAAATAACGGAGAGGCCCGGGGTCCCCGGGCCGCTCCTGTAGATCCACCTCTGAATTGCCAACCAAATCTAAAAATAGTGTCCATATCTTATCGCTTTTCAAATAATACGAAACATTGAAAGAAAACAGAACCACTCTGAGTCGGCCCCTGAGTCGCTGGACTGTTATGCCGGAATTCAAAAGTACTCATATGTTTACTTATATAAGTAATCCTATTTGTTTTTTCTTTTCATTTTAAATTTCCTTTTTTTCATGTCGATGAAAGTAATATGTTGAGGACGTTTCCCCTTTACCAACTTGATTTGCAGATTCCTCGACAGCATCGTCACAAAAGACCACTAGCTCAACTTCAACAGGTCAGTGATGTTAAGGGGTAGTCTTTAAGTATAGTGTTGCAATGGGACTAATTGCAGTTGCAGTTTCAGAACTTCAGACAAGAGGGAAGGGGGGGCGATCATCCAGACCCAGAGATAAGGGGGTCTTTCTTAAATATTTTTTTCGACCTTTCAGGCCTCAGTTTGGTCCAAAAATAACGGGGAGGCCCGGGGCCCCGGGTCCATCCTGTAGATCCGTCTCTGAATTGCCGAACAAATCTAAAAGTAGTATCCAGATACAGAACCATGCTGAGTCGGCCCCTGAGTCGCTGGACTGTTATGCCGGAATTCAGAAGTAATTACCAACGCCGGGCCCCTCCTGTAGATCCACCTCTGAATTGCCAACCAAATCTAAAAATAGTATCCAGATATTATCGCTTTTCAAATAATACGAAACATTGAAAGAAAACAGAACCACTCTGAGTCGGCCCCTGAGTCGCTGGACTGTTATGCCGGAATTCAAAAGTAATTACCGGTGTCAGTAAAACGAGGGATCGCGCCCCGCCCGGGGCCGAAAACGGGGTCTATCTCTTGTTTTTAAAGAATACTGTTTTAGGGTTAGGGTTATGTTAGGGTTAGGGTTAGTGTCAACTCGAACCGTAGCCCTAACCCTGAAACAGCATTCTTTAATAAGAAGATGTAGAAACCAATGAAGCTTTCCCTGATAGACAAACGAATCCCACAGACTTTGACAAACTCAAAGGATATAATCCAAAAAGACCGAGAACATGCTCGCCAAAGTAGCCTAACCAGATCAACGCGCGGCCAAGAAAATGAGGCCTGGGCAGTGTACAAAAAAGATCCATCCCAGGAGTCCTGGGATGACCTTTCTGGGGACCAATACATCATTTGCCCGAAGCCACCCTCCCCTGCTGGAAAAATACTTGATAGAAGGCAATTGTTTTTCCTAGAAAATCACAATTCGCTAGAGCAAACCCCGCACACGCGCCTAAATTTACCGCCCCAGGATGGACCAACATTTTGAAGGTCAATGCCCGACAGGTCGGGCCTCAAATTTTGGGTCAAATTCCCCACAGTACGGAAAAGTGCCCGGAGTATGCCCAAGGGGTAGGAGGTTTTGGAATTGACTGGTAAGTAATCTAACCCTTGTCGCACGCTAGCTGGATAGATTAAGGCTCCGTACTGATAAACATTCGGCTGGTGCACGATATACTTAGCGAATAGCAAGTCTCGAGTTACGTCACAAAGAACACAACAATGATCGTTATCCCTTACACGATAACACAATAGACTTCGCACAATAGAACGAGACAATAGTGCATAAATTGACTTGGTATATCGAGCATCACCAAAACATTCGCTTATTTGTTTAATACCCACTTTTAACTGAGTCTGGATTTCTAATTTCTTTCGAGTAGCACCAGCAGATACAGGAGCAGCAACAACCGGCCAAGGAAACAGCAAGTCAGCTGACAAGTGGATTCCCGCGATTGCGATTTTAACGTTTGGACTGGCCTTGTTTTTGACCCTGTTTACGGCGTATCACTTTATTAGTAAAAAGTTTGGCACAGGATACCGCGCGTGGCGTAAGATGACATCAAGAGAGAATGAGCTAGATCATTCTCTCTTGATGACATCCAATCATTTCTAAAGCAAAGGAAATCACTAAAAGGGGCTTTGTCACGAGGAAACTTGGCTGAGATCATTACTTAATGCCTCACAAAATGCTCAGTTAGATATAAGAAGAAGATTCCACACAAATTTTATCAGGGCGGCACTAACCATAATATTTTTTGACGATTTTTGTAGGCAGAGCTTCAAAACTTAAAAATGTTGGTTTTAACTGTTTAAGCTTTCAATCCATGTCCATCCTTGCCATCCGTTGCAACAGAAGCCAAGACAGGAAAAAATTTCAATGTCTAAATTACGTAATTCTATAAACATATTATAATTCCTATTACATATTCCTCTAAATGCTAAATTACACGATATATAAGGCTATCATATTACCTCGCCCAACATACTATCACACTATATGGCACTTTTGCAGGAAGTCAGACAAGATAAAATTAGAAAAGCTTCATTCGGGAAAGAGCACTCCGTATTTTGTTCAATAGCTAGTAACTCTTGACTTTGAGAAGCTTAAGATAAAACAGGATTGGGAGGAAAAGTTGTTAAATGTGGTAGCATCATCACAAATGTTAGTAATGTAAGCTAGTTCCTAATCATAGTTTGGCCTAAGCGATGGATCAAGTGCAGAAATAGTTGGCCCGTACTCGGTTCAGAATCGAAGCAGCTTATGAGTCAGTTAGTCCCAAATGTGTTCAAAAGCGCTCAGTTATGTTTATGCAGATGCACTTTGGAACTAAGATGTGTGCGGAGACTCAAAAAGTAATAATAAACAAAAAAAAAAAAGAAAGGAAGCTGTCCACCACTAACAACAGACAACTGCAAAAAATAAATCAAAGCTCTCACCTTTTTACTTCGCATCGATACAGCATTTGAATAGCACCATAGCAAAGTACTCGGTAGCTTTCATTAGAATGCAAACGCTTTACGATTTTACCCACTGGAGACTTAAGAGTCATAGATAATCTTGAAGATTAAGAATTGAATAGGTGCTGCTCAGTAGTCTTTCATTTGTATGGCCTCAGTCTATAGCAGTTTAGTCCACAGGCTTTGAATAAAATCTAAAGTATCGTTTCACAGTATGATGAATAGCGCCATGAGAAATGAGTACGAACAGCTCTCACCAGAATTAATTGCCAGCTTGCTTTCAAAGTGTCATTCACGACAGACTAGTGGGTTTGAATCTCGCTCTGACCTTTAGCTGGTTTGTCGTTTCTTGGTAGAATCAACATTGACTGTAAATGATGATTTCATGTGTATCTCTAGGCTCGATTTCCAGCCGCTTGAGGAAGTCCCAATCGTATTCTTCTCATAACAAGCCGAAACTAACTTGGTGGGAGCGAAGAAAAACGGGCGTCGGCTTTCATGGTTAACGAGACTGGTTTATTTCCTGCCAATTTTGGTTTCATGAAATTAATCATTGATTCTGCATGTATATTAAGTACCTGTAAACTACATGGAGCTGATAACGTCACTACATGTTACTCAAAGTTTATAACGGGACTATTTTATTTGTTCACTAGAAGCAACAGCATAATTTGAAAGAAAACCGTACGTCAACAGCTTTTAGGTGAATGATCAACACGTTTCAGCGCGAGACATGGGCGAAGGGGAAGGCTGCGCGCCCTCCAAGTCCGCTTCCTGCTCACCTGAAAAATTCGAAAAAATAGCGCATGTTGAAGGTTAGCTGCAAACTTTAGCTCATGAAAATTCTTCGTCCGATAGAGCTGCGTCTGGGTTTCCGTGGACAGCAAAGTCATAAAGAGATGATTCAATCACAACCGTTTTTTCAGTAGAACAGCCGAGTTTGCTTTCACTTCTGCAAGAGAGAATAATCATGTAAAGCAGTAGAAAATGACTAAACTTTTGTAATGAAAGAGGCAAGGGTTAGAATTTAACGTAACGATTATACTGAAGTAAAAATGTCAGTTGTTTTCCCCCGCTGTAAGAAATAATCGATTATTAGGCTGTTTGTAGATCATTGCAATTTGTAAAATGGATATGCTGATGAAAAAGTCGCAATAAAATACAGGGAAGGAACAGTCGTTGTTTTCTCTTAACCTTACATCTGCAATGTAAAATCTGCGGCAGAAAATGGAGAGACATTTTGTCACTTTACTCGTATTTAATTTAATTATTTTGTCTTCGCTTGTACCAGCAGCTCAGGATCCAGAAGGTCTCCAACATAGACACCAGGGCTAGGTTGCATTAAACCTTCTTAAGATGAGAGGGCTCTTAAGTTTTGTTCTGAAACAATAACCTATTGTTTTGAAATTACAGTTACGAGTTCCCTTAATCTTAAGATGTTTTTTGCAACCCAACCCAGGCAACCAGGCCAGCGACCCCAACACTTTTGAGTTTGTGAATGGTAGGTCACCAGGGGTCAGTTTAATGAAACTTTTACGAGTGTAAATTAGGGGTGACAAATGGTCTTTGCGAGCATTCGCGAGCATGCCGAGCACTGCTATTGTTTTGCGAGCACGAGCAGAAATAAAAAATTTGCTTTGCGAGCTTGCGAGCAACGCAAAAATTTGGGGAGCACGAGCAAGCGAGCATTCGTATAAATTTTGCGAGCAAATCGAGCAAAGGTAGAATTTTGCGAGCAGTTAAACATTTTAATGGACCCTATTTCATTACCCCTTAAATTAATAAGTATAGCCATTAGCGTAGACTTTAGAGTCTGAAAACAATAGCTACATTTGTAAATTACCCTTGTAAAAGATTTATAACATACATGTTTATTCAAACTCATAATAATAACTACATGAATTTGAAAGGGAAAGTCTAGAGGTTAACCCTATGAATAAAATTTATTGACTCCAGCTTACATATCAAGGGTGGAAAAAATCCATGTCTGCATGACAGAATTTGAAAGGGAGTAGACTGCAAACAGTCTCTCTTTTGCTCGAAAATCTGTGAGTGTTATCGTCAGCAAAAAGAACTTTTGGGCAAATGCCTACTTCTTCAGTTTGTTTTGTCTGTTTGTTTGTTTGCTTTTTACAGAAAGAAAGCCCTATGATAATCACCTTATTACCTTCGTTTCTGATTGGCTAAAAGCACACGCATAATTCACCATAACCAGCTACCGATGACCAAATTTGGAAAAATTTTGTGATTAATCAACCGATGACGTCAAAAGTGCAGCTTCCTTGCAGGTAAATGCACCGTTAACCGAGAAGATCTGGGGACGAGGTTGAGTTGTTTTAGTTGTTAAAACAAAAATGGCCAACATTTCACTCGTTTCATGAGTAAGAACTAGGCGAAATAATGGCTAAAAACATGGCAGGAACAGCAAGAAGACAACTCGAAGGGCGACATCTGCTATTTGGCGAATATTTGCGGGGCTTAACAACCCTAAATGTGCAGATCGAAGATAAACTTAACATCTATTTTTATTTTATTTATTTTATTTTATTTGCCACACAATAATTAAAAATAAATAAAAGAAAAGAGAAAAAAAGAAGTGGCAAAGAGACCTAACAAAAACTATAGGAGCTTATGAGAGGTTAGGCCTCCTCGAGCTATGGGCTAGAGCTGTTTAACATCAATTAAAGAAAAAGTGGTGAAAAGTCGAAGCAAGAGACGAAGATGGAAACATTTATGAACTGTTTTTATATTTACTCAATAATTTAATCTTCAGTTGTTTCTTAAAAAAGGAAAGGGATTAAGAGTTGATGGCCTCGTTGCCAACTGAATTTAAGAACTTAGGCACTTAAAAAAAAGGGCGAGAACGTCTTAGTGTTCGTACGACAATACGGTAGACGGTAGGCCTGGGAATTTCTTTTGTATTGAGTGGAATTGATTGCTTTGGGAGAAATTGTTATTAAACCTTGGAGGTAAGAATGAATTTTTGCAAGAATACATAAATTGGCTCGGTTGAAGCAAATGGATATCATTAAATTTTAGTATACCGAGGTCCTTAAAGATGGGGTCTGTATGAGCATTGAAATGTGATTTATTAATAATTCTAATAATGTGCTTTTGCAGGATAACAAGGCAGCGGAGATTGGTTTTATAGGTTGACGCCCAGACTATATTGCAGCGGTAAAAATAAGGATAAATTAAGGAATAGTAGAGCATACGTAGAGACGATTTAGGAAGAAAGAAGCTGCATCTAGATATTATACCGATTGACTTCGCAACTTTATTTGCAACCTGTGATATTTCCGACTTCCAATTTAGGTTTTCATCAACAATTACTCCTAGAAAATTTGTCTCCTTTAGTTTAACAAAGTTTTGATTAACTATACTTATTTGAATATTGCAAATTGAGCGCTTTTGTCTTGGTTTAAAGAACATAAATTTAGTCTTTTTAAGATTTAGAGAAAGCTTGTTTGCCTTGAACCAGGTTGACAGTTTGTCCATCTCCGAGTTTAACATAACTGAAAGATAGCTTGGATCTTTATGTGACATGAATACACTGGTATCGTCAGCGCACAATATCAGATTTAATAGATTAGAAACATTGCTGATGTCGTTAATGTACAGCAAGAAAAATAGAGGTCCGAGGATAGAACCCAGAGGGACCCCACCAGAGATCATTACCAGAAATCCGAGACATCGATAATATTTCACCTCTCTAGGCCTTGAAACATAGCGGAGAAAGAATTACAAAGAAATGTATGGGATAAAAAATAAATATCAGGATCACTGACCTATAAGCAAGGATGAAAATCTTCCACCGCTCCTAAAAGAAAGAGGACAACTATTGTCCGGTGAGTGATTTTTAAAAGTTAATTAAAAGTTAAGTTCGGACAAATTTTGATACAAAATTTGCCCTAAAAGAGACCCAAATCGTCTCACAACGTCTCAAATTTCTTCAAATATTACTTGAGAAAAGCTCAACTTTGGACATCAAATCTTGAATGAATTCACGTTCCATCACTCTCAACAGCATCGTCTGAGAACAAAGCTCCAAGAACAACATTGCTATAACATCTGCAACGTATTTCTTTACTAGTTTTTAAAGTTCAAACCATGTCTGATTTATTAAGCGATCGTGAGAGGCAAAGCGTGCCGGCTAATCTTCGAAGTGGCAGCCCAGCAAAAAATTATCGCGGCCGGCAAGATGTTGACGAATCTCAGGTGCCTTGTTAGTTGAAATACCGTATTATCTTCTAAAAGGATGGCATGGGAAAGCTGACAA